ATGCAGTAGAGGCCCTCAGTAAACTCCTTAGCTTATCTGAGGAATCTTGGACTAATAACTTCACCAAACCAGCTATAAAGCTGAAATAAATTACATTAAAAATACATGTCAAAGTGAAATGAACATAGTGTTTTTAAGACTTCTCATTAATTTCTTTGACCTTAACTATTGAATTCAGCATCTGTAAGCAATTTGTTATTTAAATGCCTATGAAAAAAGAAAAAAATAATTCTAGGGAGTGGTCCTTTTGACAGACTTCCCTTATTTTTCTTTGCTGTGGTGATTTCTTCTTCACTTTGCTCCTGCACTTTTCCCTAGTAGTTAATAGGGCAAATTTCTCAAGCCAGACTGGCTGTTTCTACCACCACTACCTTGGGCAAGTTACTTCTTCATGCATCCATTTCTAAATCTGTGAAATAAATACCTACCTCACAGTTTTGTGGTAAAGGTTAATTGAGAAAATAGCTTGCAAATCACTTAGAATACTGTGAAGCATGGAATAGGCATACAGAACTTCAAAATGTTCACTGTTCTCGTGGTTCTTTTCTCACAGGGCCCTTTCCCCTTTTCTGTTGTTGCTGACATCTCTCCCTTCAACCTCCCTGTTCCCAGCTCATGTGCTTCACTTCTATGATTAGATCAACCAATATTAATACCTTACTACTAGCTATTGCCTAATCAAATTTTACCCTATTTTAGTCATTTCTTAGTATAACAGTTGCTTTTCCACATGGTTTTCAAAGAATACTTTCAATTTCTGTGTTTTGATTCGATTGACAGATTTTTTTTTTATCTCCTTCCCAGGTCAGTTTCCATTAAATGAGTTCTATTCATTATGTTTAAAATGAAGGCAAAAAAGATACTTATTTAGTTAATGTGGTAAAACTAAATGATTTGCAATGGCTTGAATACCTGTCTTCAAGGTATGTCTTCTAGCACCAATTCTGGCTTGCTAGTGTAGGGGCCAGAATCACTTAACCATAACCATGGCTAAAATGGATGACCCTGTTACAGCTATTAATTTAGACTACAACATGGTGTGTCTTGTGTTAGGAGTCTATGGTATGTATTGTTGTCAGCAAAAAATCATTTACAAATTCTTGCTTATGACCTGTCTCTAAGATAAGTCTTTAAACACTTCCTTATGCCATTAATAGAACACATGAGACAAGAGGTGTGGCAGGCAGCTGTTTGATCTAGTGAAGCTTTTGGTTAAAAACCATGGATATATGAGCCTTACTATTGATATTATATCTTTAAAACTTTTCTATTTTATTTTATTGAGCTAACTGTCCTTTTTATGTAAATCTAAGATGTATTTCCTAAGTTACTGTATATTTGGTAATCTCTTTTGTTTCTTCTCTGTATTATACATAATATTTTAAGGTGCTAGTCCTTGCATGGAAGTTTACTTGTGGTTAAGAAAAAATAATTAAGACAGTGAAAAGGATAGTGTCTTTCTTTGTTTTACTTACTTAATCAGTGGGGCTTTTCCTCATCAGGAGCTGTGTGGTTTTGTAGCTCTTAAAACAAACACCAGCATTCCCTAAGAAAGAAGCAGTATTTTGCCTGTTTTATTATATCGTGTATGCTGAGATCTCTTTTTGAGAGAGAAACATATGTTTGGTGAGTTCATGTTTCTTGAAATATACATGATTCTTCAGACTGGAATCTAATGAAATAGGACTCCCATTTGAAAACCAAAGAGTTAAGGCTACAACAGAGGATAAAAGTGATCAAATGATTAGCCAGGGGCTAATAGAAATTCTGGGAAGAATGACAGATTGTATATTAGAAAGAAATACGATATCATATTCATTGAAGCTTTTACAACTAAAGATCTAAAAGAAATAATAGAAAATTACTGAAAGAGATGAATGTCTGAAACTTTAGAAATGCATGTGGTGTTGGATTAATCCAAGCAAGAAAGACTGATGGGCAGATAATAAATTACATTGTATAGGAAGTCTGCATTCCTTGTGTTCAAGGTACTTTTGCCTCCTTTTTTTTCCTTGCAAGATACATTTAAACAGCTCTAGGCCAGTTTCAGAAAATTCAGCTCATGATTTTCATTATACCATATGTGTATGATTCTTTGGGATAGATAAAGTATTATAAACAAAGACCCCAAATCCTTGAGTGGAGGAGGTTAATCTAAACTTTCCTTCTGTTCTGTGCCAAATTGATAGCATTTTTCCTTTTGACAGTATGAACAATACAGAACACCTTTTCATACACAAATCAATTGTAATGTCCCCAAACAAAAAGAGTTTGAAGAAGGGTACTGTACTTCTGTTGGGGAAAAAGCTATACTTCAGCAACTGTACTTTTGGGGAAGAATAAGTAGTCACAAACTGGAAAATGTGTATATATGTATTTTCATTGCAGAGAAGTATTAACTGTTCTCAATTTTATTTTGCCATGGGTACGTCATTTTACTTAAAAAATTATGTATATCTGTTTGTGTGTTAATTATTGTCTATCTTCATATAAATTTATATACAAACTAGTATATTTCCTTTTTTTCTTAAGTAGTCACACAGCACTGTAATGTGGAAAAATGTAGCTATGTTTACATATATTGTTTGAGAAAAACATACTCTTCTTAAACATTTGAGCCTTTTAATCAATTTTTACCATTCAGACTTGGCATTCATTTGTGTTCTTAGTTTTTGTAGGTCCAAGGAGAAAGTGAAATGTTTCCTGAAATATAAATAAGTAATAAAATTAACGTGTGTACAGCGTACGCTCTTTATTCTTCTTGGATATATTCTTGTTGGTCCTTTTTTAATATATCCTTAATCTCTGGGGGGAAGAGAGATTATTACTCTGTTAAACTGAAGTTCTGATTCCAATCGTCTGGGTTTCTATATACTTAAACATGTAAGCTTAAACTCAAGTATTTACATATAAATGAGTTCTATATTCTGTAACCGTATTAAAATATTTCCTAATATGATGGAAGGTTTATAGGATTTGTGTTTTTTTTTTTTATAGCTACATCAGAAATAGGATCATTATTAAAATGCTATAAAAGCTAGTTCTTTCTTGGATCCTGTCAGATAAAATGTAAGAAACAATGTTAGCTTCAGGATGTGATTGCATAATACAGATGAGCCCTGTTAATAAAATGGAATAAATGGAATAAAAGTTGTAAGTTTTGTCCCTTTAATATGCTTAATGGTTTCCATTGAATCTTTTCTAATCAGTTTTAGAAGACAATTTAAAATGTAACTCATGCATTTTTTTTTTAGAATAACAGAAAATATTTTACTAAAACATAAGATTTACAGAAGTTTCCAGACAAGCCATACAAAATGGTCACAAGCTTTTTCTTGAAGGAAGGATTCTACACTTGACAGCAAGTCACAATGTTATTAGTGAGGGCTGTGATGTTTGTTTAATGTTCCCATTTTGGTTCAAACAATCAAGCTCGTCCATCTACAGCGTCTAAATCAAGTTAGACTTGGCTAGAGAGCATATTCTAAAGAACTGGTTAGCTGCTTTTAACCAATGCAATTAGATCACCATAAAAAGGGGGAAAGGAGCCCATAAAATTAAAATAAAACTACGTCTCCCCCTCAAAAAAAGTAATAAAGAAAAACACCCACACCCCTGCAGCTAACCCTGACAACTACCTTCATTCACAGTGCTTTATACTCAAAGCATGATGGGGAAATGAATAAAAGCAGAGAAGGGCCACTGCTTTTAAACGTTTCACAACAATCCAGATGGTACTTCTAGCCTCTGCTCATGCTTTACAACAGTGAATCAGGACAAGACATAGGTTTGCTAATGTGCATTTAATCACCAAAGGACTGAAGATGTCTGGGCTTTTATTCTGTAATGTTTCTAAGACTGTGTCCATTAAATGCAAACAAAAAAGGAAGAAGTCTTGGCAGAACAGGAGAACTTGATGATCAGATCGATTTTAAATATTATTCATGGCATATAGCCTAGTCCATGCTCTAGCTGTTTCTATGGCTTGGGCTTCGTTGGTCTTCCACTGCTCCGCTACATCATTTGCTAATGGATCTGGATTGGGAGCACTTAACAAAGCCTGGATCGATAGCAGAACTGTGCGGATCTGCAGTGCTGGGGACCACTTATCTTTCAAAATATCTAAACATATTCTTCCCAACTTGTCTACATTAGGATGATAAATTTTGGTCATGAAACGTACTTTAGGGGCTGCCATCGGGTATTCTTCTGGTAAGAATAGTTCAAGCTTAAAAGTCCCTCCCTCAAAGGGGGAATCCTGGGGGCCAGCAATGACCACATGAAAATAACGGGCGTTGCTCTCATCTGGTTCTGCTTTAATGCCAGGAACTGGTTCTGCCAGCAAACGCTGGGTTTCCTTGATAATCCTGCGGGGCAGCCCGGCCATCTTGTCAGATCCCGAGTTGGGCCTCTGGTCTCGACTGCGGCTCTGCTCGCCTCACGCACGAGTGGAAGTCCAGGGCTCCACTTCCGGGGGACCATGCATTTTGTTTTTATTTTGTAATGTGCATAATGTGCGTTGGGGGCAAGCAGAGAAAGGGAGAGGGAGGGAGGGAGACTTCTGAGGGGCTGTCTCTCTCTAGTAAGAAGAAACAATCAGAATTATTAGCTGTACTTATTGAACTGTTTCTATATCAGTTGTTGCTAAACTAACTTCTGTTGCCTTGAACAGGGTTGATAACATATACAAATTTGTGCAGAACTTCAAAGAAAATTTCATTTATAAATGGCCTGTAATCAAGACCATTTCTCTTTTACCTAAGTAGTTTGTCTTGGGCTTGAAATGTAAGCAAAGGATACTTAATGAACTACTAGTTATTCTCTACAAAGTTACTTATTTCCATTCCTGGTGTGTATATACCTTTGGGATAGTGCAGTAGGAGTTAATCTTCCACATGTTGTCAAAGCCCTAATGGACATCTGTGTTTCTGTATAGATTATTCTTTAAATGGCTAAAAATTATAGAATTTTAATAGGAACTATTTTTATCCTTTTTGCAGCTATGTCATCTTACCTTTTAATTATTAAAACAGAGCTTCCTGCTGCTATTTCAGAATTTTTGTCTGGAGACCATACTAGGTAAGAGAAAATATTTCATGTTGTATCCATTAATTTGTTAATTCAATAAATATTTATTAGTGATGTGGTAGAATAGGGCAGGACAGGGAGGAACTATCTCTTGCAGAAGAGCAAAGGAGAAATTTCTGGGAATATGAAAGATTGAAGTAGGGAATGGGGGATGGTGAGAAGTTTGGAGAGTAAAGGTCTTAAACAAAGAAGGGGAGTGGATCATACTGTGGTCGCTTCTCCGCAAACCACGGTGATAAAGTTACAACCACACTTGTGAGATTTCTATTCTAAAGCATAGTTTGAAAAAAATAAATGATTTGCAGGGACTTAATGATTTCATTTCCTGGTTTTTAACAATATTGTAAACAATACTAAACCACATTATACTTCCTTTCTCCTTTATTATTTAAAAAATAATGGGTTCTAAAGACTACTGACTCATCTCTTTTTATGGGGAAAAAACAAATTTATTATACTTTTCCTTTCATTGTATAGAAAAAGAAATTTTGAGAAAAATACACTTTAAAAGACAGAATAAATTCTTTTAAGTGTCATCAAGTTATTTCACATAATTTCTAAACCACAATACAAAAACCTATCAAACTTTTAGACGTAAATATTTGGTTGTTTTGCTCTAATATTTGGACTTGTTCTGGACTGCAGGGCAAGTTTTCAAAATTAACTTCTTTAGGTTTTACAGCTTGGCTTCCATGAAAAAGTGCTACTTAGACAACTGCAAATACATATTTATAAGGAAAGTATGGTATACTTTAGATTTGAATAGAAATCAGAAGTCCTTAAAGATTTTTCATCATCAGAAGATACTGTGCCTTTGTGTAGTACTTTACAGTTTATAGGGTTTCCACATTCATAATCACATTTGATGTTCACAACTGCCTTGCTTTGTCTGCTTTTAAGTTTTATGCTCTTAGTTTGGTGAATACGATTGCTATAAGAAAGAGCTATGTGAAATTCACTCTTTCATTTGCTGTAAAAATATTCAGGACAACTTCTGTTACTCAAAAAATTCTATGTGACTAATTTAGTTTATAGTTTAGGGCTAAGAACTCAAGGCAATGAGAAGTAGAATCAGGAATGTTAGATTAAGAGTAAGGAGACATGTGTTCTATCCATGTCAGTGACCTCAGGAAATTGATTTTACTTCTTCTGGCCATATAACTTAATTTTGAGCCTGAGGTTTCTTCACCTGGCTTAATGGAGGTACCAGTATTACCTTCTTAACAAAGTTGTTGAGATGATCAAATAAGATAATATATATATACATGTTTTTGTAAGCTGATAGCAATAGTGTAAATGTGGAGAATTAAGAAATTCCGTAATGTTGAATGTCAAATATACCCTCAATTAAAAACAAAGAAATTTCAATAATAACTATATTAAAGGTGGATTTTCTCTGTTTGCTCTGCCAGGGAGGTCAGAGTCAAATTTGACTGTTAATCCTAATAGTTGTCACATGTTTGCCTTTTTCTTGCTCCTGAATTTGGTGACTTCTATTTACATTTTTTTTAATCGTGATATGTCTTTGTGGAAAGAGGGATAACCATGCATATAAAATTTTAGAAATAAATAAGGAAGTATGAGACAGAACTGCTATTAAAACTTAGGTCTTCTTTCTCTAAATGGGATGCTTTTACCATAGCTTTCTCTTTAAATCAATTACCAGGGGCTCCTGGGTGGCTCAGTCGTTAGGCGTCTGCCTTCGGCTCGGGTCATGATCCCAGGGTCCTGGGATCGAGCCCCGCATTGGGCTACCTGCTCGGCGGGAAGCCTGTTTCTCCCTCTCTCACTCCCCCTGCTTGTGTTCCCTCTCTCGCTCTCTCTCTCTCTCTCTGTCAAATAAATAAAGTCTTTAAAAAAAATAAAATTAAATAAATCAATTACCATTTATTTTGTTGGGGTTTTTTTTCTGGTTTGTTTAAAAAAAGTAAAAATTAACCCCCATCTTACTCATATTAGTAGAAAATCGATTAAAATGGTATTTTTTATATGTCAGAAATGGATTTTTAAAGCTATACTTCAAAATACTGTGGCCAGTTGGCATCATCTCTGTTTTGATGAAAATTGCACACTTCTTTAATAGCCTCATCGTGTTTTACATGTAATGTACATTTGCTTATTTTGGATTTTAGAGTTGTAAAAAACATTAAGAGACTATATTAATTGGTTAGAATGCAGATAAACCATCAATCTTTAAAGCTTAATGCTGGGCACCTGGGTGGCTCAGTCGTTAAGCGTCTGCCTTCAGCTCAGGTCATGATCCCAGGGTCCTGGGATCGAGTCCCACATTGGGCTCCCTGCTCAGCGGGAAGCCTGCTTCTTCCTCTCCCACTTCCCCTGCTTGTGTTCCTACTCTCACTATCTCTCTCTGTCAAATAAATAAATAAAATCTTTAAAAATAATAAATAAATAAAATAAAGCTTAATGCTGTAAAATAAACAAATGTTATGGTAATTGACAACTATCTAGGGCAGTTTATTTCTCAATAAAGTTATATAGCTATATTTCTTCCGAGATCAATATGATATTGTTATGCTTTTATTTTAGGGTTTGATTGACAATAAATTGCACTTAAGGTCTTTCAGGTGTGCTTATTTTCTGTGAGATTTGATGTACCTTTGTGAAATATAAGCCTTTATAAAGATGTGATAAAAAAGAAACCGTATGTTCATAATATTCTAATTTCAACAATTACTGTTAGAAGTCAGAAGCTATAATACTTATCCCAAACTTGTATGAGGCATCTATACTTTTCAGAGAATAATTTATATTTTAAAAATCTATGGCTGTTAAAAGTTGGAAGCTCTCTGTTAACATTTAATGATCTTGTCAGGGGAATATGATTGACACAATTAAGTTGTCTTGCATTTGAGTTACATAATTGATATGGGATGTGAGTAAGATCCTAATTCAGAACATATGATACTCTTGTTCCAGTCTATTCGAGAATGAAATTAAAGCAACTTATAAATAAATCTGGTTTTCATTAAAATATGGAAAAAAGCATCTGCATGCCAAAGCATTTGCAATACAGCTAAGGATTTATACTCTATATTTCTTACTTGGAACATTTTTATCATATAGAATTAAATCCACAGATCAAACAAGTTTTCTAGGAAGTATAAAAACTTTTTACTCTAATTCTTTTGGCTTAAAGGAACGTATATTTAGATTACAGTAGGAAAACAGGGGTTCTGTTGGGTAATTCATTTTCCCCCCCTTAGGAAAAAATTTAAGGTTAGTATATTCTTCTAAAATCTTTTTTTAATATGTGCTTTTTGAGATTAGTTGTTACTGGTTTGTATTTCTCGGGCTGGGTTTAATTTTCCAAGTTTAATCATCTCTGTTCTTTGGAAAATATCCATTGCCAAACACAATTCAGTTGACTGTGACATGCATATCAAATCTAAACTAACTTTAGTGTGCGTTACTGAATTGCCCTGTAGTTGAATGATAAACAAAAGCACTGTATTTACAATTGGCTTTATTAATGTACCTTAAGAAGTACAAGAAATGATTAATAATCAGTAGCCAAGCCAGGGATAGAGAAATTACATTTTGCAATAAAGTTATTTTTATATTAGGAATTTAAAATTCAATCCTGTGACGAGGAGAGTGTAAAGGAAAGCACCATCTTGAGAAAAATGAAGCAGTATCTGAAAAATACCAAAAACTCAAGAGTAACTATTCAAGAGTAGAATAGTGGGTGGCTTAGTCTGTTAAACATCCGACTCTTAGTTTTGGCTCAGGTCATGATCTCAGGCTTGTGAGATGGAGCCCCATGTCTGCTTCTCTCTCTCTCTCTCTCCCTCTGCCCCTCCCCCTGCTTGTGCGTGCATGTGCTCTCTCTCTCTCTCTCTCTCAAATAAGTAAATCTTAAAAAAAAGAGTGGAGATTATTTCCATTTCTCCTGTCACTAAGATCATTCTCATCCTTTTCTGCTTTTACAGACATACAAGATGAAGTTGTTGAGCCAGATGATCTCTGAGGTCTCTTCTTGCGCTAACATACCATAACTGTGATGCTGGGAGACTGCTGGGAGGAGGTGACGTTGTCTTCAGTCCCACAGTTCAGTGCTTTAGGCAGTCTCATGGCTTCTGGGCATGAGAGAATTGTGGTCTGATATAGTATAGTTATAATAGTATAAGTTATAAAGTTCAGGATTTCAAAATGTTTATTCTTATGCAAGAGAAAAGAGTCTTTGGTCCTAAGGATAAATGTGCTTGTTGCACAACTCCACCTTCATGAGAGTAGAACAGCAGAGCTAACAGATGGAATCTGCTTTGGTGCTCCACTGGCCCTTTTTTCTCCTGACACTGCAATTGTCTGGGTCTGATACTGGGTCCCTGAAGGAAGGAGATTTTAGGTGTAGAGCCCTGGGCTTTTTGCCAGCTCCAGAAATTTAGTTGCCAAGTGTCCCTCAATGAGGGATGTTTTGAAGTTCCTATTTTGATACTTATTCAAGAGTGACTAGAAGATGAACCTGCCTGATAGCATTTTGTATTCTTAATATGTGTGCCCTTAGGTCCTCCTACGTACAGGAATTGAGAGGCTTGTGTAAATGCAGAGAGCACAGCTTCAGGTCCATTTCAGTACTAGAAATACTTGTGCACAGGTTTTAGGTTCTGACACAGGCATTTCCTAAAGACACGAATTAGAGTGAAAAAGGGAAAGGTGTGATCAGGGTGCTATTTCTGCTGCTACTCCTTCTTTTGTTTTGTTTAAAAGGAAGTTGTTGGCACCCACCAACATCCGCTAAAGATACATTAGAAAAAGACTTCCTCTGAAACCAGAAGTAAAAGAGACACAGCGAATCATGAAGTCCATGTTAGAAGCCAGGGGCTGAAACCCTTGTAGGGGAAAACCTTTTCTTTCTTTCTTTCTTTTTAAGTTGAGATATAATTAACATATAGCACTGTATAAATTTAAGGTGTACAATATGTATTTTGATACACTCATGTATTACAGTATGATTACCACAGTAGTGTTAG